TTTATATCGAATCTTTTTGCATGTGACACAGAAAGCAATCAACAATCACCACAGACTAACGTAACCCCCCCCCCCCCAAGAGATAATTTATTTAAACTGATATTCATGAATCAGGAGGGGGATAACCCGAGGTAATATGTAAATCATGATACTGTTGCAAATATCGAACTGTTGCAAATATCGAATTTGTAATACTGGCTCCACTACGCGTATACAATACACTTCCGCAAATCTCCGTACAGACATGGATGACTTCTTCATGATATAAGTTACGTTTACTTATGGTACAGGATCGGTTTAACCTCTACACCATACTCTAAATATAAATATAAATATTTCATGATACAGTTATGCGGTATTTCACTGGCAAAAAAGTAATAATTTATAATAGTGTACAACATTTGATAATGCACCCTGTCAAGCTAGAATAAGCTACCCTAAAGCATAGATATACAATTAATACAATCAATACAATTAGCATATATCATTTATCAATACAATTTTGAGGATTTCGCAGGAGCTGTCTGATCAGGCGCTAACTATTAGTTCTATGCCACCTGACTAATATCTTCTTATGTGTGTATGCCTGCGTATGTACAGGAGATGTATTGTGTTCTATTTGTATTGGGACATTCATAGTACCACCTTAATCAAATGCTACATCACAGATACCGCAACATCGACCCAGATCATTTTATACTCCACCTGGATTGTTGGAGTGATGTCCTATCTTAATCAAATCTATTCCAAAATGTGTTTTTGGTGACGTCACTATACTCTATTGTTAGTAATTCTATATATTCCCCACTCGTGAAAAAGAGACAAACTATTGCTTGCTGTGGAAATTTATTTTTCGAGTTTCCTCTTTTATGATATATATGTATCATATTTCATTTGACACACTGCTTAACAATGAAATCAAATACAGTATATAAAGATGAAATGCACGTATATAGACATGATGAAATATATATTACCAATGTGGTTTTACTTTTTATGATAGAATAAACGTATACAATAGACCACTATATTGATGCTTGTATCGTTAAAAATGCAGATTTCTGAATAATCACTATAAATTGGCACAAGCATATTTTTGTTATAATTTGTGCGAACCATAATAATGATATAAAGTCAATGTTACCTGTCAAAATTTGTTCCATGTTTGTTTCGATCTGATTTTCAGAATCGCTGATAATTTCTGCGCAAAGTCCCAGTAGTCTGTTTGCAGGACGTTCCAAACTGTCGGATACATATATATCCAATATAGGTCTAATATTTTCCAGCATCTTTCGCTCCGCTAACGCATTTCGCACACCATCCTTTGAAATATATTGAGAGAAAGCTGACACAAAAAAGAACAATAAAAGTTTGCACATTTTCTTTTACAGTTTTGTCGCTTAAAAACCTGTAAGCTTACATGCATTATGTAATAGGTTAAATTGCACTATATGACTTGACCAATTTAAAAAAAACAACATAAAATACACAGACTTGTATAACTCCGCATAAATGTTCATAACAAAATAGAATGTCAGACTAAACTTGACATTTAATTGTTGAATGTTTAATTAGCGACTCAAACAAAAGTGGTCTCGTCCAATTATGACAATTAAAGATATTGCAACATAACAAGAAACCGTTATTGAACTATGAACACGTGTTACTTGCAATGGTTTGGTTTTGGTTTAGTATTGTTTAACGTCCTATCAACAGTTATGGTTATTTAAGGACGGATTCCCCCGTATGCAAGATGCATGCGTGGAGTGTATGCGTTTGTGTTTTGGGAGGATGCGACATGTTCGTGATTGTCTCCTTGTGATAGCGCGGAACTGATGCCGACATTATAGTGCTACCTCTCTGATACATACTGCCGAAGACACCCTGCAGGACACCCCAGTCGGTCACATTATACTGACAACGGGCGAACCAGTCGTCCTACTCCTAAATTGCTGAGCATTAGGCAGGATAAGAAACTACCATTTTTACAGACTCTGGTATATCTCGGCCAGGGGACAGATCCCAAAGCCTTCCTTACAGGGGCGAACACTCAACTACATGTAAAGGCCAAAAGTGAGGCATTGTCAAGGGAGACATTAGGAAGAAGAATGTTGTTTAGAAAGAAGAGAAAAGATAAGATCCCTAATTTAGTCGCAGTTACTTTACCGTAATAAACATATATTTATTTAATCAAACTGTGTTGTTTACGTAACCATTATGAAAACAAGGTTGTTCATTTAACTGTTTTTACCGAACCATTCTTGAAAAGAGGTTGTTTATTTAACAGAGTTGTTAACCCAACCATGATGTAAACAACATTATTCTAATTCACAAAATACAAGTCTGTGTAGTATTGGTCCGATGCATGCAACTACCATCGATATTGCGTCATTACAGCAATATGTTTATATCTCATAAGTACACTAATTATCAAGCTAGTGTCGCCACTTAAACTCTGACGCGTAAAGTGATACGGATTGTTTTATCTTAAAGAGCTGTTTATTATTTTTAAGTGTGCTTTTTATGTGAGAATCGAAACAAAGGGCTCAAAATTGCAAGAATAGTAACAAAAGCATAGTTCAAACCAACACAGTATTACTTGTTTGCTGGCAGATAATCCTATGGTTGTGCCAAAGCCAAGAAATCATGAAACAAACACTCGCTAAAGCGACCGGATACAACTTGCTTTTTTGGTACACGTAAGCTGTTTATCGATAGACATTTGTAGATATCGATTATAACTTATAATATATAAGCAAATAATAAGTATCCGTCGTTCAGATCATCACGTCGGAAAAAATGTAACTCGCCCATTTGTATTCTTCAATCCTGAAAAGCAGTATGAAAAAAAAATCACAACAAGTAAATACATATCTAGACCATTTGCTTTATATTTCCGATTAAAAAACGACCCCATCAGCGAAAAATATATTCTTTAATTATTTTCGATCAGACAGTCATACATTTTTCACATATTTCCGTGATGGTTAATCAATAAATGTATAACCGTTTAAGAATGATCTTTACGGACGAAGAAATAATTAAAAAGGAAAAATATGTCTTTAGTACCTTCAGCTCGTTAAAAAGATTCTTCAGTGGTATTGTCGACATTTTTATTTCTTTTTAAATTATGAAAGTGTTATAAATGAAATATAAATGATACGAGGCTAGATCAGGGTTCTAACTTTTGACCCCAATAATCATTCTGTCGTTCTTACCAACCGAGATAAAAGAACCTAGTCAACAGCAGTACATGTAACATGACCAAGTCATACTACAGGTATACTAAACTGAGGTGGTAACTATATGAACGAAAAACTACAGTGTTAGTATCTAGTACATTGCCTGCAGCGGGGCAGATATCCTAAATTACAACTACACGAAAACATAGTCAAACTTCCTTTTCAAAGAAAAGAAAAACATTACTTTTGGTTTTACTCCTCACTATTTTAACCAATACTCTTCTCTTTATTGAATTCATATTATTAAATTCAAATGTGTTACCCCTTTTCTATTGGGGTTGTTTGAGTTCAGAGAGTCCATACGTGGGCATCAGAACTGATTCTCGAATATAGGTCCTCATTTTGTCATTGTGATGATATTTTTTATATCTTGTCATTCAGACAGGACTTTTCCCACACGATACCCTGTGTCAGATGTTTTCCCTTAATTTTCATGAATTTCGATCTTTAGAAAAGTACTGGATTATTTTTAATGAAATGATCAGTTAATTTTGTATATAATGTACCGTGTCATTATTCAAAAGTGATTTTTATTGATATTAGGTTTACGGCCAACCTCGAAGTTTAAGAAATCAAAATGTACAGTCTACCACCTTGTATCGTAAAAGATGATCGTAAAACACACACATGGCTGATTGCACATTCAAAAACATGGAAGTAGATACGGTATATAAGAAATGAATTACACTGCAGCATACAGCTGATTTGTCCTTCTGGGACTCATCAGTGATTTAAGGAACCAAACACATGGAAATCATAAATATTTCTTTATTCCATCTTTGTTACAATTCGATTCATTCAATGAAAGTGAAGAATATGTAAAGTTCTTAATCTGCATATTAGTTTAAGTTAACTTATAATGATAAACATTTCCTATCTCTTCTAAACACAGGTTTACCAACTTATCATCATTTTTCTATGGGTAGAATGTAAGTTAGATGTAGGAATACAATATAATTTTTCTCTATCGTTCTTAAAATGTTCATTTTATTAAAAACTGCAATATATCTATTTTGAATTAACTGGTCATACAGCTTTTGTTTAAGAACTTTTTTTTAGCTAATTTTCACTGACGGTACACATTGTTTATGTCCGCTCAGAATCCAATAATATTATCGTTAATTTAAAAAAAAAAAAAAAGATGACTATACTTTTACATGTCATTTTAATTCTGATATTTATAACACAGTGTGAATTAAATACAGCCAGTTTATAATGTAATAATTTTTGGTAAGTAAATCATTCTAATTAATTGATCAATTACACTTTTAAAGACAAAACTTTAAACTTTATGTGCACGCATGCTTTTATGAATGTTTTATAATCATTAACAGTATAGCCGTATGAAGCATCAACATATGTATTTTTTCACAAATTGCTGTTAAAGTATTCTACCGTTGCTAATGTTTATTATACAAGTGCGATCTTCCGATACATATATAATACATTGTGATTTAAATACAGCCTGTTTATATTGTTATATTTTTTGGTAATTAAATTATTCTAAAAAATGATCAAGTAAATTTTAAAAAATAAAAAAATAAAGGTGTATGTGCACGCATGATGTTATGAAAGTTTTATAAACATTAACAGCATAGCTATATGAAGCGTCTAATTTTTCCCCACAAATTGCTGTTAAAGTATTCTGCCATGGCTAGTGTTTGTTATACATGTGCGATCTCCTGGTACACACTTACATGTGTATTAGCGAAATATTTCTGCCAAACCTGTGGCATATCACGTGACTGTGCTTTCAATTGTAACCATATGGCAAAACAATTTAGTCATTCCATACAAAGACTGAAATTGTCTAACGATGAAGGCGTGTATGGTTATTGCTGGTTTGATATTGATATCGATGTATGATCAAGTATTTTCAGACGACAATGATTCAGTGGAGAAGGTAGAGGAGCAAAGTTTAACCAGTGAACTTGTCAATCTTTTAAATGGAACTTATTTCAATCTGAACGAGAAAGTATGTCAATTGCAAAGGAAAGTCGATGCGATCGAAAGAGTCGCAGATCCTGACCATCAGTGTGAGTGTAACGAGACGGAAATCAACGAATTCAAACAAGCGGTATCAGATGAACTTAATGCCTTTTCAAAGATATTGTCCGGTTTTGAAAATCAAATGCGCCTTTTGCAAAATGAGCAGGCAGAATTACGTGAGTTGATCGGCGGAGGAGACAGCGACGACGATGGTAAGTCAAACGCAACATTTATACTGTTTACTGGGAAATTGTCGCTCAATAAAAATTTCGCACTTCGGCGGCAAAATCCATTTTCGCCCAATATTAAATGATCTCTTCATCTTTAATAACTTTGTACATTATACTGTTTGCAGTTATTCGCTGATATGATAATTTTGCCTTCATTACGGAAGGCGAAAAAGGCGACAAAAATATCCCAGTATACATTAGATATATGTTGACCTTGAAAACAGTTTATAGGATATTAATCCGCCTCATACGCTTGATTGGTTCAATCGACCACGCTCAATATTCGATAACAAGTTTCTATAAACTGTATACTTCGCATTAATTCGCAGTCATGAAACATAGCGTGAAATTAAAAACCCAGTGACTATTCATACAATGGATACTGATTTTTGTGAATATTATTTTAAACTGAAGATTAAACCACAATTCATTATCGTATTGCACTTTTTTACAAAACACTAAAAACTATCTTCAACAGCGTAATATTTTGACCAGATATGTTGCGCGAAATTAATACCTGTTAACTTGTTGTGGTAAGAAAAACCGCAAAGTATAAGCACCGCGAAATTAGACAAATATACAGTATATATCTGAAAAAATGATATACCACGATAAAAACATTGCAAAATTATATAAGTGAAGACTTGGATAGCATTAAATATAGTTTAGGCCTCCAAAAGCAATTACATTAGTGTAGGGTTTGGAAAGCGATAAATGAAGTGTAGGTCTCAAAAAGCAATAACAGTAGTGTAGGGTTGGGAACGCGATACATGGAGTGTAGGGTTGGGAAAGCAATAACAGTAGTGTAGGGCTGGGAAAGCGATAACAGTAGTTTAGGGTTGGGGAAGGGATAACTGTAGTGTAGGGCTGGGAAAGAGATATTTGTAGTATAGGGTAGGGACAGAGATAACTGTAGTGCTAGGGTTGGGACAGAGATAACTGTAGTGTAGGGTTGGGACAGAGATAACTGTAGTATAGGGCTGGGAAAGCGATAATAGTAGTGTAGGGTTGGGGAAGAGATAACTGAAGTGTAGGGCTGGAGGAAGAGATAACTGTAGTGTAGGGTTGGGACAGATATAACTGTAGTGTGGGGTTGGGACAGATATAACTGTAGTGTGGGGTTGGGACAGAGATACCTGTAGTGTTAGGGTTGGGACAGAGATAACTGTAGTGAAGGGTTGGGACAGACATAACAGTAGTGTAGGGCTGGGAAAGAGATATCTGTACTATAGGGTTGGGACAGAGATAACTGTAGTGTAGGGTTGGGACAGAGATAACTGTAGTGTAGGGTTGGGACAGACATAACAGTAGTGTAGGGTTGGGTAAGCGATAAATCTAGTGTAGTGCTGGGAAAGCGATAACTGTAGTGTATGACTGGGAAACCGATAACAGTAGTGTAAGATTGGGAAAGTAATAACTGTAGTGTAGGGCTTGGAAAGCGATAACAGTAGTGTGAAGGATTTGGAAAGCGTTAACTGTTGTGTAGGGCTGAGAAAGAATTAAAGTAGCACTGGCCTCAGAAAGCAATACAACTGATGCAGAGTTATGAAACTGATAACAGTGATTTAGTTCCCTGATTTCATCAGAATTGGTATTGTGACGTCACAATCAACTAGTGTATGATATTGGTGGGTATGTTGTGTTACTGAGTGGATTTTTGACGTTCCGATCTCAACTGAAATTGACAGACTATTTTTGACGTTGAAATAAGTACAGAATATGTTTAACCAATAGCGAACGATTTTGAAGGATATAAAGGCATATTAAATATCAATTGTTTTTGTATTATGAAATCAAAATCAAATGATGAATGAAATTACAAAGTTAAGTATTGAGTTTATATGTTGACGTCACAATCAAAACGGGAATGCTGTAAAGTCAGAGTTGTCGTATCACAATCTTACAGGGTTTTTGTAGCGAGCATGCGCATTTGCGAGTTTAAATCCGCTGAGATCATTAACTCCTATCGATATGGAAATAAGACTTTCTCTGTTGCAAATTAGATTTTCTGTTAATATAATCAATATGTTTGATTTGGAAAATAAAAAATACACCAGATTAAAACTCGTGATAGTACGTCAATAATCTGACGTATATAATTTCATGATAGGGTTCCAAGATATTAAGACTAGTGAAAGGAATATGTTTGCAGTTTTACAAAGGGAACGATTTCATGTTTTAGTGTCTAATTGTAAGTCCTTTTCGTCCGAAAAGTGTATTGCCTTTCATTGCAAAACTTTACTTTAAACGTAAGAATAATTATTTACAAATAAGTATGTTTTCTTCGTTATGTAAAATATTTTGATATAAAAAGGAATAATTTATCATGCAGAGGCAAATTTGGGCGCTTGACAAAAATGTATATTGCCACATTTTACACGATTTGAAATTAAATAGAAAGAACCCCTTAATAAGAAAATAAATAATTTCTCAAATCGACAATAAAAAGCAAAAAGATCGAAAGAGATGCATAAGTCTCATTCATCTGAGCCCTATACATAATCATAACATTTCGTATAAAATATATAGTTGTTATCCTCTGATGTAAATCTCGGCCAAATTACCCCCATATTATCACGATGGAATCGACCTTTCCCACGACAGGCAAAAGGCTACAAAATAGTTTCACTATAGTTTACTGTTCTACTCTTGTCTCCACTTAATTGCACCATGCTACACGTCAAAACGTTTATAATGTATAACTACAGTTTTTGACAAAAGTACGGAGATCCTAAAGCACCAAACCTCGCACACACAAAGACACACACACACACACACACACACACCAGCTAGCTACAATCCAACTTGATTTATCGCTTGATTCTGGGACAAGGAAATCCCACACCTTTCCTTCCTTACACAGCATGATTTAATTATCTATAAAAGTTGTTTACACGACTTTTCAACTTATTTAAATATACGCATGCCTCAGTGTTTTATTAACAATTGTATTGGTTTGCAGAGGTGAGGTTTCTAAGCTCTCATTGGATAACACAAATATATTAGGCTTATTCCTTTTTTTTATTGTAGTTTAATGGAATAATAATGTACAAAGGCTAAACGCTTCTGTATCAATGTGAACAAATCCTAAACAAGTGTTTTTAGGAGTGTCAATAACAGCATTATGAATATGTAAATAGCCTTATTGTGTTTCACGTATTATAGTTTGAAATGCTCATGAATCGCAATTTCAAATTCCCTAATTTTTTGAGCAATAACAACATGTACATTTTTTCCTTTACTCCGCTTTTCAATGTGTTTTCTTTTACATTTTGTGATTGTGACTTCGTGTTCTTCCATTTATATCATAAGTTTAAAGATTGGAAATACCCTTTCATCAAATATATTTTGATTATTTTGAAAATTGTTATAAATTCTCCTCTCATCCTGCAGTATTCCGATGTTAGTAATTTTAATATTAAAAGCCGTTCTCCATAGAAAAGTTATTTTAATTCTGGTACAAGTTTGGTGGCTCTCCACTGAACGTTCTCAATTAGTTGCATGGCTTTTTATTTTTGACTTTATTAATAGAACTTTGTATGTGTGTTCTGAAGTCTAGCATATCCTCCAACAATTACACTTAAAATTTGTTCACGGATGATGCTATCTAGTGTAGTTTTCTCGCCATTCTGGCCAATGAGATGATAGCTTCTATCATCTAGGATTGATCCTTTGATATGGAGTACATTTCATTGATTTGAGTGGAATTTTAATAACCAGTCGTTTGCCAATTTTCTTTACTTTGTACGGTTTAAATTTCTCCATGCGGTTCCCTGTTTCTTTTTATTCAAATCCAATTATGAACAGAAATATCTTATTAGATTTATATATTATGATACTTAAATAATTATTGAGGTCATAGCTATACCTATTACCGGCTTTCCCAAAAGATAAAACTGACAACACTAGACGTTGACCTGGGGTCATCTCATCATCAACAACGTAAATTTTCGTTATTTTGTCTTACTATTCATGACAATTATTATATCTATAGTATCTACTACTACGACTACTACGACTACGCCTGCCCCACGTATCTGTGACCCAGGCTGGTTCTCATCTCCGGAAAAGTGTTATTACGTGTCCTCAACTTCCGAAAAAACAGAGTGGAGTATGGCTATGGTGAGTTCAACTACTGTTCATATTTTAACAATGCCTATTACTTTCGAAATAACGTTAAATATAACATAGTAATAGATCACACTAGGGTAAAACAATTTTACATGGAGACGCTTGAAAAAGTACAATGTTGATAAGACCAGGTATTCCAGAAATGTAAACGTCTTCTGCTTAATCAAAGCTAATTGACTATATCTATTTCGATCACATGTCTGATTCTAGTCTCAGGGAATATTAGCATGTATTAAAAAGTGATGTTGAGAAATTCTTCATTAACAAACTTCGGGGCTTTAAGCCAGTCTGCCACGTAATACCACGTCCTCGCATCGAGAACTTTGGTAGTCAAAACAAACCACAACCACTGTAATAAGCATATTCAAAACTACATAATGTATTGAATTGTTATATATTGACAGAACCAAATATGTTCATTGTTGATTTACCGATATTATTCCCTAAAAAATGCTTTTTGTTGTTGTTTTAAATTTTTGTTTTACCAGAAATTGCAAAGGGAAATAAATAAATCTAGAACTCGTGTTTATTTGAAACATTTGAAAAAAATATACAAGTTTGATTTGTCTAAGCATTTTAGATATCTTATTTATATTCTAAGATATTTAACGAGGCTTCGTATGCAGCCCAGTATACTGTATGCAATGAAAATAAAAATAAAAAGGTATAGTTGTGTGACTGCAATACGCACCACAAATAGCGTGCACACATTGTGCACACAGCGTCTACACAACGTCCACACATGGTGCGCACAACTATACGACTTCACAATCGTTCGCCCCGTAGTGCGCTTCTCTCCGCACAAATTTGCGTTTTGGTTTGAAAAACTCCAGAACCCTCGTGTGGAATATGTAACAGTGTATATAAATTTCTCACCGTGTTTATTAGGATTATGTTTTACACGGCATTATGGTGACCTTTAGACTCTCCAGAATGTGCCTGGCTCCTAGATAACAGAACTGCCTAATAACATTTTCATGACTGACCAGAGTTTTACATGGCATGTGCCTGACACAAAGAGCTTATAACAAACCTGGACGTTCAGTATTTAGTATTTGTTATTTGTATTCGTTTTGGTCTAAAGCTCCCCTTCACCTTGATTTTCACACCGTGGCAAGTTACGTAAGTACTCCGGTACAGGTACAATGTTGCAATGTTTACCTATATATGGGAACGTTTACATATGAGTATTTAAAAAACCCCACTAAAAACGCCATTTCTAAATTTAAAAATATATAGATAGAAAGATCAGTCTATATATGTAGCTAGAAAATAGAAAATATGCTTAAAATCAAGTTGATATGTTTAAGCACGAAACCGTATACATCAACCACGATTGTCATCGCACAACGTTCGTCCATCGTCTGCACAAATGTGCGCAAATAATAGTCGTCCAGATTTTGATCGTTCGCACATCGACATACCGTCCGCAGATCGCGCGCACACTACACAAAGTCAACGTGTAACGTTGTGCGACCCCACAACTGTATGTTTAAAGATGAACACAACATCGGCGTTGCACCCATTTGGTAATAGATACAATATGCCAAAAATGATTTCCACTCACAAAACAGCTGTTTTATCGTTATTTTTGAACATCGCTTTTGTTTAAAAGTTTAATGTCAATATCAATGCTTTATTTATTCTTCTTCCAGTCGCGCTGTACAGCCAAGGGGGCAAACCTGGTTGAGATTCAAACAGACAAGGAAGCTTCATTCATTATGCGTAACCTGCCGAGTCGTGTTGGTGAGTAACGTTGATATAATTGCTTTAAATAACTCATTATTTTTATATTTCAAACTAAATAAGCATTTACTTGTAAAATATTTAGTAGGAGATACGTTAAGGTTGTTTCTTGATGAGTGTTGGAACGTTTAAGCTAGTGATCAACAGAATTTTACAAAATGCAAAAAGTTGTTAGCTCTTTCCTATAAATATAAACCTTACATATGACAGAATTCAAAAAACAAGTTATGTCAATATATATTAATCACCTTTGTTTGAAAGGATAATATCGGACCGGGTGTCTTAATCATACTAAAAAACTCTTGTTTCCTCGGGTGTTAGCGCGAGGGGTTTCTTAATGCGGGAGGAAACCAGGGTACCCAGAGAAAACTATTAGGTCGGGCAGGTAACCCGTACCTTTACACATCCGATCAGGGAGTCGGACCCTATACATATCTACCTTAATATTATCCATGACAATGCATCATTTACTTTATATATCAACACTGAGTAAGATCTGTCCAAATCAAGTATATAAATAATTTTCACCCTTCTAATTTGTAACAGTCTTTCTGATTGGATGTCTTGCCGGGGTATATATTTCTAAAGACCCGGCTCTGCCGGGTTTATAGCTGTATATTAAAGCACTTGCAAGGGGAGATTACTCAAAATATAATCTCTCTTCATAACAACAAAGATGGCGTCCGACACACACAATCGTTTGAGGTTTGCCAGTCATTCACATGATTATATGGACTACAAGCAATCTAAACGACGGTTATGTATTGTCCGAAATATTGCCGTAAATGTGTCCGGTAGGGGCTATTTCCAGTAGTTATAAAGAATAATTTTACAGGAAAATTATCAAAAAAGAATCTCAGGGTAACACATTCGTTGTCACTGGGTAAGGAGGGGTCTACTTGCTCATAGATCCCTCATAACCCAGAGATAACTAACAATGACTATCACATATATTGAAAATCACAAATACTATATATTTATGAAAGAAGAAAAAAACAAACTGGAAGGCAGAATATATACCGCATTGCCTATTTACGGGTTATCGTCATAAATGGGAGAAAGCGATAGCAACTTTTAATTTATTCATGTATTTTCAATTTACCGATCACACAAACACCATTTTGATAATTTCTATATATTACAATTGTCATTAAACATGGACCGCGTCTAATCTTAATCACGTCAATGTAAAGATTTGTTATATCAATATTATTTTATGTCACTTATCCATATCGCTCAATCGGTAAACAGTTTGTGGAGGATTCTAAATCCTCTAACAAATGAAATATGTATATTTGCTTAAATAGTCAACGTCAAGTATTTACATTTCTACTGACCTTTGACTCGATATATCTAATCTACTAAAGAGTATGGAGATTATTTTCCCATAAACTATCCAGTTGGTGTATGAATATGTTAGCAAATAAGTGTGTGTGAATTCCATTTAGATACTGTTTTCGATTGTTTTCTCAGAGTTTCGGGCTAAAATAATGTAAACCTGTTAGATTATGTTATAACGTTTTAATCAATACAAAACAGCGAATTGCTTTAATAATAATAATAATAATAATAATAATAATAATAATTGGAGGTTCTTATATACCGCTTTATCACAACCTAGTTCGTAAGTCATCTCAAAGCCGTCACAAATTAGTATCCGTAGTTATAGGGCCTTTGCAACTAGCCAGTACATTTCTCAATTCCCTGGGGAGCATACAGCCGGAGCTGCCATTTCGACGCTAACAGCTAGCATTCGACAATTCTAGCACTGCCCAACCACGAACTGATTTACAGCTGAGTAGACGGGAACAAGCGGAGTAAAGTGTCTTCCTCAAGGATACAACAAATTGCCGTGTCGTGGCGCGAACCCGCAACACTTCGGTCACGAGCCCGGCGTCCTACCACTGGACTACCGCGCCTCCTTAAATACGTCACGACGCCATTTTTGACGTCACCTCACGGGGTATCAGACTTGTACAAGTCAGATATTTTAGAAATTATCAAAAACTTATCAACATTCCATTGAACGTAAAAAAAAGAATTTCTTAATAACTCATCGAGGTTTCAACCCCAATGAACCCAACAGAACAGGATTCAATCATCAAGTGAACCTATGTATTTAAAAATAATCCAGTATGAAGCTTTGAACTTTAATATATCACTCTTGTTTGCCTGGATAGCATAACGAACAACAAAAAGAGTACTCCAGTTCCCTCCAATAGAAACACACACACACACACACACACACACACACACACACACACACACACACACACCCCTTAGAATAATTAAATCCATGAATGAATATTTTTTGGTTATGATATATGCCACTTCAAACTTTCAGGTAATACGGACATACTATATACGGGACGTAAGAGGAACGACAGAGATGGTTGGGTTTTCGTCAGCAATGACAAGATGGTCGACACATCGGTGAGGACATGGGCTAGCGGGGAACCTGACGGAGGATCCCAGAGATGCGGATGTACCAGACAATCAGAGAGTTTCATGATGTTGGATTGCTATTGTACCGGATATAACCTCTTCTTTATCTGCGAGATTGAACGTTAGTCATATGCTGTCGTGCAAATCACAACATATGTCGTTCTATACATAATGCTGATCATATGGAAATTCTATAAAAGAATTAAATTTTTGTAAGGAGGAATGTTGGTTTTCTTTTTCATTTGAAACTGACTAGCTATATATTATGTCTTTTGTATTAAAGTTCACTTGTAATTTACGTATCTGTACTAAATACAGTACGGGCACAAATTTCCTGCTTCATTCATAACTGCTGCAGAATCATGCAAAGTCTGTCATTCGAAATGGCGCTTACTTGACGTATAGGGTTACAGATAGTGAACATGAATAACATGATTGACACGTGATATGATCGATAATTAATTTGAATATAAGGATATTAAAAGTTATCAGAATTAACAACAGTTCAACTCCATGCATCTAAGTCTAAACTTAAGAGATACTTTCTCTGGAAATTGGTGTTTCTAATTTTGGTAAGAACGACAGCGATGATAGCCGAAATGTTCACCAAACAAATGACGAGACCGAAAAGTATTAAAAAATAAACCAGACCGGCGCTGTGTTCATGTCCTATGCAATATTTGCGCTCGAAAATCGATGAAATGCCGCAATCTATCGCCACCTATTGATCGTGCCAGAAAAAAAACCATTGTTTCCAACTGTGGATGGATAAAAAATAACCCCAATATCCAATTTAAGTTTTGTTTTTTATACTTTACTTCAATATATGTGAAATTGATTTTATTACTGGGTCGCTGTGTAATAAAAATGCTGTTACATGTATGGGTTAGTAGATACACATTAGTTGTCAGCAGATGGTAATCCACACCGGGCATGCCATGGGGTTTTTTCGTAACAAATCCTTACAACATAATTTACGAATTATATTAAATCTTTTAGCTCGGAATTCCCACAAGTCTTAAGTTGATATCACCAATCATTACCTGCTGTGTAATACAATTAAAGAAAGATAAGAAAACATTTTATAGAGTGTAAATTATCAAACATAAACAGTGAAAAACGTTTAATGACTCATCGAACACCTTCAACGACGTCATTTCTACTCCAAATTTCAGATATATACAAAAAACAGTATAAACAAATAAATACTTACCAACTACCTTCCACGACGTCATTTCTACTCCTTTCACAGATATATATATAAAAAAAAACTATGTAAAAAAAATCATGTTTCTACTCCAAATTTCACAGATATATACAAAAAAAAAACAGTTTTAAAACTTAAATGACTCATCAAATACCTTCAACGACGTCATTTTTCTTCAAATTTCACAGATATATACACTTATGATCAGCCTGTAAAGTAAAAGTTGAAGAAACTGAAATAAAGACCTTTGTCTAAGCAAATCTTGAAAGAAAATCCAATGTTCTAGGAAAGACCTATACAGGAAATGTTATAAATATATATAGTACATATTTATATAAACGATATATTCGATTAGATTATGTAATGTGCATAACAGATCCATCAGGTACATTTGTACTCGACGTTAAGAAAATGTCCCGATATTAAATTATATATGAATCGCAAAGTTGGAGTAAAAAACGTTTCTTAATACATACAATATATGAAGGTAAGAACGTTAGAAAGGTCATGATGTCAAATTGACAAAGTACAACTCTATAATTATTTCTCAGCTGTATTATTCGGTTCCTTAACTATGTACAAGAGGCCCATTGGCCTTAACGGTCACCTGAGTCCTACAGTATTTATTATTGTTGTTGAAATATGTACCAATTTGAGTAAAAAAATGTTAAGTATAACGTTAACTTAAGTTTGTCAGGACCATGAGCTGATAATTCCTAGACCGATTTTCAGTTAGATCAGCCTTTTAGTCCTTGTTTTTAAGTTTGAAATAGGTATTTTCAAAATAGCGGCCATGGCAGCCAAATTGCATTTCTGATTGACACGAAAAATAACAAGGAGTCGATCATTCCTACAAAGTTTCAGTTTAATCGGCCTAGCAGAACTTGACTTTAATTTAGAAATAGTTTGTCAAAATGGCGGCCGTGGTGGCCAAATTGGATTTCTGATTGACCCGAAAAATAACAACACTTTGTCAGGAGCATGCGTCGATCAGTCCTACCAACTTTCAGTTCAATCGGCCCAGCAGAACTTTACTATGAGTTTGAAATATTTTTTAAAAATGGCGGCCGTGGCGGCCAAATTGGATTTCTGATCGACCCGAAAAATAACAACACTTTGTCAAGACCATGCGTCGATCATTCCTACCAACTTTCAGTTCAATCGGCCTAGCAGAACTTAACTTTAAGTTTGAAATAGTTTGTNAACGACGTCATTTTTCTTCAAATTTCACAGATATATACACTTATGATCAGCCTGTAAAGTAAAAGTTGAAGAAACTGAAATAAAGACCTTTGTCTAAGCAAATCTTGAAAGAAAATCCAATGTTCTAGGAAAGACCTATACAGGAAATGTTATAAATATATATAGTACATATTTATATAAACGATATATTCGATTAGATTATGTAATGTGCATAACAGATCCATCAGGTACATTTGTACTCGACGTTAAGAAAATGTCCCGATATTAAATTATATATGAATCGCAAAGTTGGAGTAAAAAACGTTTCTTAATACATACAATATATGAAGGTAAGAACGTTAGAAAGGTCATGATGTCAAATTGACAAAGTACAACTCTATAATTATTTCTCAGCTGTATTATTCGGTTCCTTAACTATGTACAAGAGGCCCATTGGCCTTAACGGTCACCTGAGTCCTACAGTATTTATTATTGTTGTTGAAATATGTACCAATTTGAGTAAAAAAATGTTAAGTATAACGTTAACTTAAGTTTGTCAGGACCATGAGCTGATAATTCCTAGACCGATTTTCAGTTAGATCAGCCTTTTAGTCCTTGTTTTTAAGTTTGAAATAGGTATTTTCAAAATAGCGGCCATGGCAGCCAAATTGCATTTCTGATTGACACGAAAAATAACAAGGAGTCGATCATTCCTACAAAGTTTCAGTTTAATCGGCCTAGCAGAACTTGACTTTAATTTAGAAATAGTTTGTCAAAATGGCGGCCGTGGTGGCCAAATTGGATTTCTGATTGACCCGAAAAATAACAACACTTTGTCAGGAGCATGCGTCGATCAGTCCTACCAACTTTCAGTTCAATCGGCCCAGCAGAACTTTACTATGAGTTTGAAATATTTTTTAAAAATGGCGGCCGTGGCGGCCAAATTGGATTTCTGATCGACCCGAAAAATAACAACACTTTGTCAAGACCATGCGTCGATCATTCCTACCAACTTTCAGTTCAATCGGCCTAGCAGAACTTAACTTTAAGTTTGAAATAGTTTGTCAAAATGGCGGCCGTGGCGGCCATATTGGATTTCTTATCGACCCGAAAAATAACAACACTTTGTCAGGACCATGAGTCGATCATTCCTACCAACTTTCAGTTCAATCGGCCTGGCAGAACTTAACTTTAAGTTTGAAATAGTTTGTCAAAATGGCGGCCGTGGCGGCCATATTGGATTTCTGATCGACTCCAAAAATAACAACACTTTGTCAGGACCATAAGTCGATCATTCCTACAAAGTTTCAGTTCAATCGTGCTAGCAGAACTTGACTTTAAGTTTGAAATAGTTTTTTCAAAATGGCGGCCGTGGCGGCCATATTGGATTTCTGATCGACCCGAAAAATAACAACACTTTGTCAGGACCATGAGTCGATCATTCCTACCAACTTTCAGTTCAATCGGCCTGGCAGAACTTAACTTTAAGTTTGAAATAGTTTGTCAAAATGGCGGCCGTGGCGGCCATATTGGATTTCTGATCGACTCCAAAAATAACAACACTTTGTCAGGACCATAAGTCGATCATTCCTACAAAGTTTCAGTTCAATCGTGCTAGCAGAACTTGACTTTAAGTTTGAAATAGTTTTTTCAAAATGGCAGCCGTGGCGGCCATATTGGATTTCTGATCGACCCGAAAAATAACCACACTGTGTCAGGAGCATGAGTCAATCATTCCTACAAAGTTTCAGTTCAATCGGCCTAGCAGAACTTGACTTTAAGTTTGAAATAGTTTTTCAAATTGGCGGCCGTGGCGGCCATATTGGACTTCTGATTGACCCGAAAAATAACAAGACTTTGTCAGGGAGATGTCAGTAACCTTCCCATGAAATATTAATGAAATCCCTTTGCCAGAATTTCAGCTTAAGTTGAAAATGTAAAATGTTAACGGACGGAGGACGACGACGGACGAAGACGGATTGCATTAGGTCAGTTGAGCTAAAGCTCAGGTGACCTAAAAATAAAACCCTACAAAGAAATTATAAATTTCAGAATAAAACCAAGCGCTTACAAGTAAGGCCTAACATATGATTAACATGAAGTTCATACTATTTAATACTTCTTCACACTAAGTTATTCAAAATAGGAAAAATACTTTAGCTTTAAAATGATTGTAATTTCATCATAATATTCTAGAAAAAAATACTTATTAATAGATGACAATTAATTAATAATAGTAACCACCACGTGTTCACAAACTGCTAAAGTTGACATTTTCGCGTATGGAAATGTTCGCCATATGACCCTTTAAACTGATCGCGTAATGGAAATATTTGCGTAGGAAATTGTTCTGAAATCTATATATCTGTTTTATCCATAATCTGTACGTATAATCTTCAAAAATCTCAACAACTCGTTTTTAGTACTTTCATCTCTTCAAGAAGATATTCAGACTGTTTATTTGACTCTGTGTCATTTGTGCCTGCTCCGTTTCATTGTATCGGAATATCCGGTATGATACATTTTACGTCCCAAGTAATCTTAATAATTGGTCTAAGATGATATGATTCTGTATATATGTCCGCATGTTAATATTTTCGCGCTCATTTTCAAACGCATAAAATGCAAACATTTCCACATCCGAAAAATTTCCACTTTTACAGTTAATTAAAATACCTACCCAAGATATGGCTATGGACGGTTACATCAACAGCAGATAATTTTAGCAAAGTTTAGCAAAGCAGGCACTCTCACAATTGTAAAATATTACGACCGAGGTTTGGTTTATTTTGTTTAATGTCAGATTAACAGCGTAGGTAATTAATGGA